CTATCTGGAGCTCACAGGATCTCTCCATTCTGTCTTTCCTCACTTAATTCCACCACCCTCTGTTTTCACAGTCTCTGTGGGTGGTGCCTCCTGAAGCCCTCTTTCACACCCCGTGCGGAGATTTGAATAAACATATGTTGCGTTAATTACGAACCAGTGCCATGGTGCGCCTCAGACAGGAAGCCATTCTTCAGGAGCCACTTTGAAAGGGTCTTGAGCTCCAGTTAAGTCGGTCTAATGAGAAACGTTTACATGATGATTATGAGGGACGTCCTCACTCCTCCTTCTCACAGCACCCAAACACCTGCTCCCAGCCCTGCCTCGCAAAACACACCCAAACTGAAGCCAAGCTTCATCACATTTTTACCATGGTCTTTAATGAATTTGTCAACGCCTCATCACGGTGTAGCACCTACATCTCGTAACGTCGCCTTTATAACATATGTTGGATTTACAGTGTAATTAATGTTGAAGGATGTACCATGTACCAGTAAAATACTTTAACAGGCTATATGTAATTTAAAACTAAAATTATCAACAAAATGTGAAGCAATAACAGTTTTAACACCATGTCAAAGATCTCTATGTATTGTGCTGCAAAGGTATCTACTGAAGTTAGTGTGCTAAACAGCTAGCCCTGGCCCGTTCTGTCTCATGAAACCACTTTGTGCCTCAAGAGGCGATGGTAAGTCACTGTGGCGTCTAGTCTGCCCTCAGTACAACACGAGGCGATGAAGAAGAAGTCTTCACCACTAAAACCACGTTCGGTGACAGAGGAAGAAGTGATACAATAGAAGCAAAACAAGAGTTAACACGGGCCTTGGAGACAGCTCTTGACAACTAAAGGGAGGAAGGTTAATGCGGAACTTGCAACGTTTCTTCTGGTAACTAAACAGCTGTTAATGCTAATGTTGGCTATTTAGCAGTAGCTCATAAAGTTATCTAATTGTATGTTACTGACAGTGTTAATATGTTTGCTAATTTAGTTGTTTCTTACCATTGGGCTGGACACCCCAACTTTCTGGTGATATTGCTGCTCCCAATTTGATTGGAGAATTCGAAAGGAGGCCAATTCGTACATATATACAAGACTGTGGGGAACAAGGGACATTTTAGATAAAAGAGGAGAAATAAATTATACTTTTATTATGGTATTTGTGTAAATATTAGGTACATAAGTATCAGTAAGTAAGTAGGTACCCATAAGCATTTTATTGGAACCTGCTCCTACCACAAACTTACACTATAAATCATTATTATAAAGTATTAGCAAGTGTTCCTACAGTATGTGTAATAGGATCTAAAATAATCCAAGAAAAGGGAATTGTTTGTCTATTTCTTGTGAAATAGACGATAGTTTTCTCTCAATGGGCTTCTAAAAATGTAACAATCTGTCATTCATAGACACAAGTTCATAACCCACGGCAAGGGATCATGAGTAAAAAAGGTTCACAAGTAAGTCTTTGTGCTGTAGTGATCGCAGTTGGGAGCTACTTTCTTCATTTTCAGAAATGTCACTATGACATCAGGACTGCTGAGGCGTTTTCTCTTGTAAGCACAAGAGATAAATCTTTCATTCCGTGTGATGATAACGTCATATTTTTTAATTAGTCTGCTTTCTACAAGCGCCAAACTGGTCTTCAAGTGAAATGAATGCCACGGCTCAGCCTGTACATTGGGTTTGATTTGTGAACTCTGTGTCAGGCATGCCATGCCCACCCACATCGGTGCGATGTCAAGATACGGATATTTATGGCCGAGGGGTTATGCACCCAAAAGGCACAGTTGACTTAAAATATGAGCGAGGAGGACAACGGAACAATTACACAAATACACTACAGTAATTATTATTTTTAAGCTATAAGGTGGTTTCATGTCAGATTCTTGTGGCTGAAATACAGTAGGAAGTTTGTATTAACGACAGGCATATATGAGTTTGACATAGTGAACATTGTGATCATGAGTTAGAGCAACATGTAGCCTCCTCAGGTTTCAAATGGGGGTTGGTGGGCCTTTCCAGTGCAGATTCAGCGGGAACAAGCTGTAAACTAAGTGGTGTCAACCTCAAAACTTTATACCTGCCTAAAAGGTTCAGTAAGCCTCAGACAAACTCGTGTACGAAGTCTCATCCAAAGACATCTAAAGGAGAAAGTGTTTATACAAGACTGTCCTCCCAAGAGAAACGAGAGCATCAGACGTTCGCCAAAAATGTATTTACATTCAAGAGATAAAGCCGTCAAGTGGCAGTAAGAATCCGACTATTGTACGTTGGGAGCAAAGGAGGAAGTTAGGTGATGTTATGGAGCCACAAAGTCTGCAGAGGGAGAAGGTGAGGGTGGATGAGTTAACAAATCATTCTCCCTTTCTTGTTTCCAACCAACAGTCAATTTCCTTTAACTTTGACCGTGGTCGTAATTCTAACAAACTGGTTATTATTGTAACTATAACGACGGAGGTCCCATAACCTCACACTTGTAGACACAGCATTGGCATATTATCACCTTTTAAGTTGATATAGTGAATTTGAAGATGTGTTTGTGTCCATCTGATGAATGTAGGTCCAGTCTTTGCTCTCGCTTTTAGCTCTGTGTTTGGTCTCCACCAACTCCTCTGGGAACTTTCTGACTCTGAAGCTGAAAGAAACAAAACAGGGAAGACAGCTAAACAAAGAGCGGAGACTCACTATAAAGCCTCATGGTGAAGAGAGCTGCAGACTGAGATGATAATTATCTATAGGTTCATCACCACAAGCAACATCTTTCACATTGTCATTTGAAACATTATAAAAAATATTGATTACAACTGCTTTAGCATTTTAATCCAAACCATGCTATCTCCCTAACCTAACTGTGTTCTAGTCTACACCTTCACCAAAGTGCTGTAAGATCATAAAACAGTTGAAACAGTTAGTTCATCCTGTCAATAGTGGCATCAGATCAGGAAATGTGTCGGTCTGAAGGCCTGGGAACAACTGTATTTTGTGATTTAATTTGTGGGACTTGTAGGGACGAGATAGTAGATTGTACAATGTATATGTCATCACACACATATTTATACGCTATATTTATGTATCTCATTGGAGTCGTAGGGAGATAGTCGGGACTTCGACACTGGATCACATCAGTCCCATCAGTGGTTGGGTTCAGGCAAGATTGGCAGTACATTAATAAACAACAATTTCTTATTGTATTAACAGAACGTAATCCAGCCTGCATTATGTTTTACTACAAAATTTATGTGCTGTTGCATATTTGTTGGGTGGTTTTCAAGATTATTTCTGGGGCATTTTTTTGCCTTTATTGGATGGTGACAGGTGAGGAAGCAGACAGGGAATGTGGGGAGAGAGGGGGTATGACATGCAACAAAGGTCACCGACCTTCAGCCGTATGACCATGCATGCTGCAACCATTCAGCTATACCAACGCGCTCCTGTTGCAAATTTGTTGTATATAAACGTAATCTTTAGGAGACGGGATTGTGGTTTCACGTGCAAAAAGTGGCAAAAATAAGCAATAAGTTCGAACTCACCTCCCCACGGGGCAACTGTTGCTTGCATCTAAAAGTTACAAAAGTTGTCCCTGATTCAAACGTGGGAAAGGTGTTTGGGAGGAGGAATTTAAAACGCTGTTTGACTATCTGACAAGCGCTTCATCTGAAGCATACTGAGGCCTTTTAACGTCAGCCAGGAATCCACACTTATACATCACAGACTAAATAAAACTTAATTTCCATATCATAGTTGTAATTTAAACCAGTTAATGAGTTCATGGTGTAAATCTCACAATCTGACAATCATCGCCACCTCTTCCTTTTCTCAAGTATCCTCTGTTTTAATTGAGCGATCAGGTGATACTGTTGATAAAGACATGTTATATATGAAGACATCTGCTGATGTGTCTGTCTATCACGTCTAAATCTGTCAGACGACAGAAGCAGTGTTCAAGCCAACTGCACTGGCTTTTACTACATTCTTTTACAGTCGTCAGGATTTTACATCAGTGTCCAGTTGCAGCTCGGCTCGGCCTCTCATGTCTACGAGCAGAATCCACTATCCAGCTCACCCAGATTCACTTATGTACAGTACGATACAGGCAGCAGTGGATGGAAGTTGTGGTTCCTGAGAAATCACAAGGTGCTTCATCAGAGTGGAGCTGCGCCTAGATTAGAAAAGCTTTATCCTGTTCAGAATACCTGCGGTTTCCTGCGTGCTTTGCCTCATGCACGAGAGCCAGCTGACCTGCTAATAACACTTCCAGGAGAAAATGAAAGCTGATTGTGCTTCACAAGGTGATGGCCCGGGGCTTTCGCCGGAAGCAGGGGGAGCAGAGGAAAAGGAAGCCGGAGGGGGGAGGTGGGGGTGGGGTGGACACGCCTGGCTGGCCGTGGCGTCCGTGGTGTCGCTCACACTGAGGCCCTCTCGCCACCCGTGTCAACACTGATGACTTCAGCGTGTGCCCTTATGAGCTCACCTTGCTAGGAGAGACACAGGAAGTGGGATTAGAGCAGTGGCAGTGTCAAGGGGGATAACTGTGTCATACCTGCACTGGGGGGCTTTCATCTATTAATGTACGTGTGTGTGTGTGTGTGTGTGTGTGTGTGTGTGTGTGTGTGTGTGTGTGTGTGTGTGGTCACCCATGCAGCTGCTGATACCCCAGGGTTATCTCTTTCAACTGTGTTTATGAAGCTGATTCTCTGTCCAGGCTGGCTGACCTGTGACGGCCAAACATGCTACTAAAAGGTCTTAAAGAGCAGAGAGCGCTGCTGCGTGACAGCCACACTTTCTGTTTCATCTAGACGTGGACCAAATCATGTGGGATTGGTTAGTTACTGTATGACAGCACAAAAAAACGTTTGTGAAAGTTAATTTTGCATATTTGACTGGGAATGAAACCCTACCTGATTCTTTCGGAGGTGTTCTGTGTGCCACAACTGCACACCAAGCAAACTAAGCCTACACTGTGCCAAACTGTTTGAATTTACAACACTAAGACACAAATATAGACACTTTTAACAGCAGACAGTTAAGGTTAGGGTTAGAAAACATACATGTGGGATTAATAACACTGATGAAGGCTGTATTAGATGAGCTTTCCTGACATGTCTTACTGGGACACTTCATGGAATAGAGGCATCGTTAACGTTATTATATGTTACTGTACTTTTCCTGCTTTGACAAGTCAAAATGTCTGCCGTGAAAAGGGTCTATTCTTGGCCTGATACAGGCCTGTGCTAGGAGTCAGAGCATTTCAAGCCTTAAAGGAAAATTCTGGTATTTTTTCAACCCGGGTCTTCTTCTCATATCTGTTACGACTGCGGTCATCCAGCTACTGCAGCAACTCCACTGTTCAGGGAAACAGGTCCCGACCTCTCATAAAGAAACTCCATTATTTAAAGGAACATATGTCATTGATTTTTCTGTATAGAAGCATGTTATTTTATTGTAGTATTGCATTAACACTATAGGCTATCTACATGAGGGTGCATAAAGTCTTTAAGTTGGTCATCATTAACAAATAAAAGAAGGCAAGAAATGTGTAAAGAGTTAATTGGATTTCATCTTGTTACAAATTAATTTTAGAAAAGTTTGAGGTTTATTTCCTAAAAAGATATTTATAATTAACATTTATGTTATTTTGGATTAATTTGATGACATAATAACAACTATAGCTTAATAAAGACATTAACGGACTTTTTTGTTAAGCCTTTCATGAATCAAATGGAAAATGAAAATAAAATGGTGTTGATGATCCAACCTGTCAACTGTCTATTACAAACACGTGAAAAACTGCTTTATTTCAGTGGAAATCTCTCAAAACACCCTGCGACATGGAAAATGTGACGATGTTTTGATTTATTTTGTGACTTAATAAGAACAAATCGTTATTTTGTCATCGAACAAGTTTTAACTTCAGAAAAAAAGGTGTCAAACAATGTTTTTTTTAGGACGGACTATAAGACAAAGAGGAGTCATTTAGCGGGGGAAAAACAGTCGTAATTAATAAATCTTCTTAAAAATTACATTTAAAGAATCATCTGATCGGAAATATATTAAATTATAGCGCAATGTTCAATTTATAGTTAAATTACGAGGTGAATTTACTGTACAAAACACAAAATATTTGAATTATTGATGCTTTGTCAAAATTAAAGAACTATAGTTAAATCATTGGCCTAATTAATGAGGGGATTCAAGCAATTGATTTGTCTTTAGTTTTAATTCCCTCTTCTTGCAGCTCACTTCACTAACTCATCATAAAAAAACATCTGGCTATAAAAACAGAATATCATAATAACATTAATTATTCATGTGAGCAGATCATACTTTAACGAAAATGCGCAAAAAATATTCCCACTGGAGAGTTTGTGGCATTTAATTGTAAATGTATAGTTTGTTGCTTTTATTTATGTTTATGTTTTTTTTAAAATGCACTGTAATGTGTATATTTTTATATTTTAGTCTTTAGTCCTTCTAAAGCAATCATAGTCCTTTTTTTTTTTTTGCAGAGGGCAGCGTGTGTAATTTGTGTTACTCTCTGATGAGGGGATGGCTCCTCTCATATCCGGAGCCTATCACGTCCTGCCTCTGCATCAGACACACCTCCACAATATGACCACTTTACAAAATGTATATATCATAGGTTAGAAAACTGAGCATGTGTTTGAGTCACTTGTAGCGACTCCACGCGTCAAAAAAGACAAGACAATCACCCACTCGGGCAAAAAAAAAGTTTATATATAAATAGTCTAATGAGTCCGTGTGAGGTTTTAAATTATAGGCTGTGAGCGACCGAGACGAGTATTGTAAAGTTTGTGGCATGTCAGTGCGCTGTGAGTAATAAGTGAGGATAACAATCCAGACTGTGCTGTTTTGTGATTTTTTATTTTTTTTTTTTATTGTACATGCTCTTACTCAACTGGACGCTGGAGTGGAGCCTTATGACATTACGCACAGACCGGGAGCGGGGCTGCAAATGGGCGGCATAGGTGGCAACCTCTACCTCAGCATGTTGAATGGGACTGAAACGCAAACTTTCGGAAAGAACACCGACATCAGCAGTCACCTCCACCGCGGCGGCAAGGATCTAGCCGAGTTTAAAATGGGGATTCAGGACGCGAGGTTTTACTACCCAGACTCTGTTCAAAGCGGGCAGGACCCTCTGGCTCTGCCGTACCACTCGGACCAGGCGATGGGAGGGTACGGAGCGCAGCCCGGCAGGTTTTACGCACAGACCCTCAGCAGTTGCCCGTACGGCGGCGTGCGGTCGCCTCCAAGAAGTGGAGCCGGGCAGGGTTACATCCCGACGGCAGGAGACGGGTTTCCTGCAGGCAGTAAAGACTTGTACTCTCCTGCTCCGGAGAATTACCCTGCGAGCTTTCAGCACGGCTACCAGCGGCCGCCTCTCTACCCTTTACCTGGGCTACAGGTGTGCGGGAAGACTCAGGCTCTGCTCAATAACTACCCGCTATGGGCCAAGTTCCACAAGTTCCAAACCGAGATGATAATCACCAAACAGGGGAGGTAAGACTGACAAGTCCAACGACTCTCTCTTATTTTTTCCACACTAATAAAATCTGATGGAGCCGGTTGCTTGTATTTGTGCTCAGATTTTAGCCGAGAAGAAGTGAAAGAATTTGCAAATTACCCACCGCTCTTCTTTGGTTTTACACACTTTCTCATTTCTCACTACCAGTCTTCCTTTAATGGTGGGCAGATAACCACTACATCACACTAACTTCCTATAATTTAACATAAAAGACAGTTGTTGTTTTTTCTCTCCTGAGTAAATAAATAACACCTTGCAGCCTTGTCATGCTGCCTTTTAGTGTTATCACCGATTGGAGGCCAGAGTTTACCGTCTTGTAGCTCCTGTTTACTACACACATCACATCACTGGTCAGGTGACAGAGGTGTTCGCAGCGTTGAGTCTTTTTGGAGAAAGATGAGAATGACCTCTGAACTCCATGTTTACCATAAGTCGATTTATCACTTCGCTGCTTTCGTGCAAATCCGAGCAGAGCTGAGTCATAATTAGAGCCTGAAGTATGAAGCATGAGTGGATAATCTATTATCTATAATCTGAAATGCATCTCAAGGATGGTGCTGTAGAATAAACAACACTTGATTCAAGGAGCATCTTTATAAGAGCTATTCTCTCAGTCGTGTGATTTAGTAAAAATAAATCAATGAAATAAATAAATAAATCTAAATTTGCTTTAGGCAGAAGAAAAAATATAAGTTGCATGTAGAGTTGCTGGAATACATTTTGACACCTCTGCTTGACCTCTAATGTCACCTCATTATAACTTCTTACTTCTAGGAGGCAGTGCCAGATAAATCCTGTTATTCTCTGCAAAGAAAAATGTGGAAAACAAACTCTTCCCTCCTGCGATTGTAATTATTAAAAGGCTCAAAATCAGATCAGTAACAAATCAAATCCTTTAAGAAGTTATCTTATCTCTGCTCAGACAGAGATTACTTTTTTTTTTAACGGAGAGGTGATAAAGTGAGAAACTTTTTTGATAAATAAACCTCAGCGCGATATCTCGAGTAGGCGGCTGCAGAAACTAAAAGAGTGAAATTGAGATTTTAAAAAAAAGAACATAACGCGTTTCTGCGGCTCCTGACCTGAGAGAGGGTTGTTGGTGGTGGTGGTGGGGGGGGGGGGGGGGGACATGGTGCTGCCGGGCCCCTCTGATGGGTCACCGAGCATTAAGATGCAGCCACGTCGATGAGGATTAATTCACTAATATGCGCCGGTTTTGTTTGACAGAAGGTTTGAGGCCATAGGTTTCTCATGGCTCGGATCTGTGCACACCAGACAAGTGCGCTGTCACATAATAAGACACTGATATTTCCACTGACTCCACTCTGTCAGCTTAAACACATTTTCTTATTAAAAGTGACTTGAAATTAAATTCGATTTTTTTTCTTAAACTCACTTTTGTTGTTGTTTTGACACATTTTTGGTGTTTTTCTGGCTTTTGAAAGCAGGAAGATTCACAGTTTTGTAGGTGATGGATTTTAAGTTGCTAGCTGCAATTTACAGTCTTGTAAATTATTCCCCTTTGACCTGCATGGTTTCTTTACTTTCTGGTTGACTGCTGTAAGTACACCTGCTGTCAGAACTATTCTGAGTGCAGGTTTTTGAAGTCAGAAAATAATCTTTGAAGTAGTTTCTTGAGATGATTTCTTGTAAACTTTTTCTTTTTTCCTAATACAAAAAAATGCAAAATGCTGTGTTTCCATACTTCACCTTATACTGCATTATATGGATTATTTAGAGATTATTAAAGGACATTTATTAGACATTTTATAGTATGTGGATTTTGTGAAAACATTAAGAAAGCAGAGCCAATTTCAGATATTGTGTGTGTGTGTGTGTGTGTGTGTGTGTGTGTGTGTGTGTGTGTGTGTGTGTGTGTTCCTTCTGTCATTTGACAATACCAATCCTGGCAGATTCCCCTCTAGAAACCCACACTGTGGTCAGTAGCTATTATCTATCAGGTCATGTAATTAAAATACCTATTATATATAGTTTTAATTTAAAACACATTGTTTAAACTGCAGCAAAAGAAAAGGAAACACTCAAACACACACACACAAACACACACACACACACACACACACACACACACACACACACACACACACACACACTTGCTAGATTTTTCTGCACAAAAGTGTAAATATGACCCGCAATAACAAAAAACGGTCGGTGGAATGAGCACGGAGGTGTTATCCTTCCACATGAGACTAAAAGCAATTTTTCATGTTGTGCAAAACCACAAACCTCATGTTACGAAAATTTCAAATCCTGGCAATTGAAAATGTTCTCACCCTGGTATCTTAACCCCCCCCCAGTATCTAGCACAGTAAGTTATGAAGAGTCCAAATAAACACAGACTTTATAAAAAAAACTCCTGCAAGATTCTGGAGGTGTCGAGCTGAGGAACCCAAAAAAAAAATAGGATGGTTTTTCAATATCAGAGGCGATAGCCTTCTTAAATTTTCATCTCGGCTTCTGGCTCCCACAATAATTTTGCTGTGATTTCATAAAGAAGTCTGCGGGTCTGCAATGTTAATCAAAACCCTGGTATCTATAAGAGAAAGGGTGAAAGAAACTCTAGAGAAAAGTATAGAGAAGGGTCAAACACCACTGAGTCTTCAGATGGCCACGCTGAGAAGGTGAGGCACCTTTGAAGTTCAGGAAGTAAAAGACTAGATTCTCTTTTTTTTTTCTACTTTCTTCAGCCTGCACTAGACGCCCGGTGTACAGCCTGACAGATCTCTCAGAAGTTTGGCTCATGTACCACACCTGGGCTTTGAAAATCTAGAGACATTTTCATGGGTTGTAGCAAAGGGAGGGGAGGGGGGGCGAATTCATCTGCACTTCTCATGAGCTAAATTCAGACCACCACACTGGTTGATAACATTTCAGGCCCTGCTCATCCTGTGTCTGCATTAAGGCAGAGTTCATCGAGTCTGCACGCAGTGGAGAGTCGAGGTTCGACATAAACATAGCGTAGTTTTCTGTCATCCAAATGAATCAAGACAAAAAAAGCAGTAAGATGCAAAACAATGGGTTTTTCTGATATAGTTAAAAAAGAATCAGGTGACTAAAAGCGAAAAGAGAAAGTGAAGCTTTTTTTTTCCTCCTTCATTTGTTTGACCAATGTCTTGATCCTACACCTGGGTGAGTTTAGATATGAGTCAAGAGAACAAACCTTTCCCTACCTTGGTTTCCAAGAAGCACAATCATTTAAAGGGAGTTTTTTCTTATGGAAATAACAACTGAATATTAATTGATTTAATATAAATACACATTTAGAATTAATCGTATATCATCAACCTGAAATGTGCCTGTACTCGAAGCATCAAAGATTTATAAACAATGGATAAGTCACAATTAATGCTAATGAATGTCTGATTGACCGTACAGTACAGTACAGTGTGTGTTCTGAGAAGGAGAATAAGAGTGACTAACATACAAACATCTTTCAGGGAAATAATGCAGATCTAAACTTCAGAGGAATCATGCTCATGTGCTCTCTCTGCTCCACTGACTCCAAACTGTAACATGTATCAATCTGTGGTCCGGTAGTTTTTTAGGGAGGAAATAATCCTTTGATTTATTTTACTCCCAAGAATGGTTGCTACTTATTACAAAGTGCCGCTATGAGTAGCTGAAGATTGAGTTAGCAGAAAAGCATCTAACCATAACATCATAATACCATTTAAGTTTCTACATTTGCTACATTTGTAAAAAGGTGGCAACTTCTACAACATATATTATCACTTTTATTATATTTATTAGTACATAATTATAAGAATGTAGTATTTGTAAATGCACTGCAGCTTCTAAGTTAAGTCCTACAAAGTAGGAGTAAGTAAACTCTACATTTATACTCAGTGAATAATCAAGTTTCTTTCCAAAGTAGTAGGAAATGATCACTTCACATCACCAAGGAAATTCGAGTGGGTGCCCTCTCGGTCGTGCCTGGCTGCAGACATTTTCAGTACAATGCCATACAGCAAAAACCTCATTAATCACGTCAAAGAACCAATTTGACAATTACATTTCTTATCACAAACACTGCAAGATGTTTGGGGATGAATGTTTGGAAGTGTATTAATTCTCTTGCTCTCTTTCTGAAAGCAGAAGTGGGACTATTTCAAGGTTTTAACAGTATGACTTGTCACTTCCTGTTCAGCTGTTTATGTGTGCATATGCAGCTTTTCGCAGAAACATCAAGTGCCAATATTTTCAGATAGCTAAACAAGTGCTTCCTCTTACTGAGTAAATATCCTCTTCTAATAACTGAGTGGTGAAGTCCACCACGTTTTGAGCCACAGGCCAAACCCCGCTGCTTTCAATGTCGTTATTCTTTGGGGTTAATAAAAACTCAAGGCCGAGAGAACTAAATAAATACACTACTAATTTGTCGTGTGATTTACTAGATACCGAATATGAAGCCTGTTTCTTCACATATGAGGTTATTTATTTACCTTTTGTCAACAAATTCCATGAAAAGACCAAAAAAAAAAAAAAGAATTGATCATAGAGCTCCATTGTTGCCATTAAAAACACATCAGTGAGCCACACTCTTGCACTGGCTGACACAATCCTTTATTTAAATGAGCACACACACGCACTGTAGTTTATTTTGACTCAATCCCACAAACACCTGCTGTCCGGAAATACCCACTACTAGACAAACAAATGTGTATTAAACCGCTGAAAATAGTCCCCAACAAATGAACTGTTATCTCCTGTTTTAATAACAGAACTACAAAACTACAGTGCCCAGCTTTTACTCAGGCTTTTTTTAAAGATATAACAATATATTTGCAACATATTTTTAAAGATTTACATCTCGATTATAAAACAAATGACCTTGAGGTGACACAGGCAGTGCAGGGAAGTATCGAGAGAGGGAAAAAAAATAGCTTTATCATTTATTATATGACATGCTGCACTAAAATATTGAAATTTCAACACGTCTAGTCACTGAATTCCT